ATATATATATATATATATATATATATATATATATATATATATATATATATATATAGTTCACATACACGCACATATAAATTCTGTTTTTATTATCTGTTTCTGCATTGATTAAATATCAATCAATGCTTGCTAGTCGTCTTTTTTAGCTATATTTTTTGTAATTTTCTAGATAATTCCCGTTACGAGACAATTTTCTGTTTTTTTTTTAAATATTCGCGTAATATATAATTTCTACTGTAATATATAATTGAGAAATTAACGAAGACCCTTCTGCTCTTTTTGTTGCAGGTCGAATCACCGCGCCAAAACGCCACACCGAATAGCACACATTGTGAGTACCCGATAAAATTTCCTCAAACATTATTTCGCGATTGATACGTCGTTATTAGGATATGACATTAATCCGGGGCGACATTCCGTCGCAAATGCGAGATAAAATATGATTGAAAATATTCAGTAAGAATTTAATAACGCGCGTATTTCGAGGATATGAACGGTTTTTACGTCGTTGCAGCGTCGACATTAACGCTGTTAAAAGGGAGAACTCCTTTAGCGAAGCCATCAATATGGCAATCGACGCGATTTTGTGTATCGACTTGTGCATCCTTTGCGCAAGTATCCTTAATTGTAACGACGATTCCCGATGATTTTCTCTCGGTCGTCGACTCGATCCGGCGCTTTGACAATTTTTAATCCCCCAGGCGTTTAATCCAACTTAATTCCGCGACAAATTTAAAGAACACTTCCTCTTTACGGGGCCGGTGTATCGATTTCACCCGAACCCTGACACGAAAACTTTAATTCGTTTTCTTCTATCCTTTTTGGTCAGACCGCAATAAAAGGAAAAAGGAGACGGAAAATAAAGGCGGTCGCCGATGAATCGTAATGTCGAGCATATAACGTAAAAATCAGTAGAATATATGTTTAATAAATATTTTTCATTTGTTTCTTTTTTATACTCGCATCGCGAATTGAAGTGTTTAACACTAAAATCTGAGATTTTATACACAATGGATTCTTACATGCGAAGTGAACAATTATATTTTGTCAGTAAGAAATCCTTACTTTGCAATTCGTCGAAGTAACGCGAGTCGAAATTTGAGCTCGACATTAATCCGCAAATTCTGTCGAATTTGATGAAGAATCTTGAGAAATAAGCACAAGCTATTGTCTTTTGATGCTACACACGAAGAAAATATTGTAATGAAAATTACGTAAAGAAATTACAATGTCTTTTGTAAAAAGCTGGATTATATAAGTTGTAGTGTAAATTAAAACTTGAATCAAACGAATGTGTGGTAAAATATGATCGAACCAGAATTCCGTTGAAATTACTAGAATTCAACTCAAATTAACAAGATTCTGGTTAATTAGAACTTTTCAAGTTGAACAATTCTGTTTGAATTTCTGACTCATTCATATTTTACTAAAAATTTGTTTAATCTAACCAAATTTTTTTCCCTTGTAGAATTAGACGATTTACTTTAATATTAAAGAAATTCGAGCAATTACAATTTCAAACAAGTATATAGTAATTTTGATCATAAATAGCCCATATGATTATAAATGGTATGGTCCAAAACTACAAAATTGTATTGTAATTTTCATTGCAATATTATTCCCGTGTATACAAATTATTATTTATACCTATTGCTATTTGTTGAAGATTTTAAAGCATTTATTTAGGAATTATTTAATATTCTGCTATCGAGTCTCCATGTTGAGGCTCATATATATATATATGTGTATATATATATATATATATGTATATATATATATGTATATATATGTATATATATATGTATATATATATATATATATATATATAAAAGGAGAACTGATTTTTATCTAAGACTTGTTTAACATTTAGTTATCTCCACGCGTCGGAAGTCTGTCAAGTTCCGAGCGCGTTGATCGTCGTGATTTCTCGGCCACCGGATGTGTTTGTCATTGATTGGCGAACGACGACGGTTGGTGATTGGCGGGGGGTGACTTTGCCGATTGTTTTGGTACTCTCGCGCGTCGCGTACTTGTCCGTGATCCAAGTCATTACGTCTCGAGCCGACGAGCCGCGCACACACTGCGACGCGGGACACGTGTATCGTGCGTTGTTTATCGTTCCCGTACGAGAGTGATTAAAACATTTCGTCGCCTATCGAAATACCGAACCGTATCCTCGTCGGCGTCGCGTTAATTAACACGTTTCTCTGATCGTATCCACGCGAGTTTGTCAGTGATCAGTGCCAGTGAGTGTATCTATATGTGTGACTGAGTAACTGAGTGAGCATCCGGAGCCACGGAACAGCCAGGAACAGGACGTTGGACCAAGAAGGAGGAGGACAGAATATCGGACAACGATACATCGTATTCCCAGGTATGTGCAATCATTTGCTCTGCAGGAGGTTTCCGTTTTCAACGGACGTTTAACGAATTCGCGAGAATAAAGAAATACCCGAGTCGAAATTTAGGCCGACATTCGTAATCCGTTATCATTTGATAAGTGATTATAGCTTTATTAATTTTCGATTATTCTGACCTGTTTTGTCCGTACTTATTTATACATCATTTCATAGAAGAAACATTGATCTAAATAGCCAAATAAAGAGCTGCGAGTCTGCAATTCATTATTTCTCAATCGAAGATCTTATGAAGTTTACAACTAGGAATATCGGCCTATTAGAATCCAATGTAAATCTCGCAAGTGTTGATTTTTACGTCCAATAATGTTGCTTGGACTGCGACTTTGTTTACATCTGTCAACGTTTCTTTTTTCGATTTGTCACTGTACGAAATCAAAATTTACATCTCTATTAAAGTAAATACATTAAAGTAAAAGCATTTTTGGACATATAACTGTTATATTTATCTTTACAGCTTCGTCCTTATCAGCTCTTTTAAGAGCTCGTCGCGACTTCTAGTACTAAAAGAAGAAAAAAAGAAGTTATAAGAATTAAAAAATGTGTTCTTTCTGTCTCCCATACCTATTAATTTTTATCAGATTATTTAATATTTGCTTATACATCGTATATATACTTTATCTGCAATTGAATTTTGTATAATTCGAAATGTACAATTTATATATTATAAAAGTTGATGTGTGTTATATAATTAATATATCGCTGCTTGAAATTAAGAATAAAGATTAAATATACGAAGTATTGAGATAATCAAATATTAAATAATTCTTGAACAAATACTTCTTCATAAGTTTCTGAAGAAAACCTTAGTGAACAACTAGAGTTTGTAATATCAAGGTAAGATAATAATATGTGTAGCGTTGTATCTGGAGATTCTCTATTAATTCTTCAAATTCGATCTTGTATTTGCAGGATTAATGTAGAATCAAATTTCGTCTCAGGAATATTCTCGTTATTAGCTCTCGACTTATTATTAGCGGATTGGCACATTGAATGTTATTTCTTTTTTATCAGTCCGGAAATTGGAGCGATTTATTCTACGAATAAATACAATGAATTGAATTTGCTTTTAAATATTTATGCTTTATTATCCATGCTATTATATCGAATAAATATATAAACCGAAAAAGTCACTAAAAATATCTATTTGTTATTTTTAGTGAAACGCGAGAGAAAGAATTGGTTGAAACAAAGTTATTAATTTGGCATTAGCGTGTCGAAATATTATCCCTGCATTACGTTGTTCTCCCCGAAAATGTCATCGCGAATTACTGATCGTGTTAAAAGTAGACGTCACAAGAGGGGAACGTGAAAACCTTTGTATCGGTCTTCTCGCAACTAAAAGAGCCGCCTCTCAAGGAGCTCTGACGCGGCAAAACACAACATTCGATCAATCGAGTGACTTTGAGGCGAACGGGAAATCGCTCGCAGGTGGTCGAAGGTAGAGGATGAAAATCCCTCGCTAATTGCGTCAGTGATCGCGCTCGCGTCATAAAAGGGAACGAACAAACGGAAGGTGGCCGACAGTAGCAGCTGTACGGCGCGCCAAATCCGGCAGGAAGAAAACTGGCTTAATCCTCTTACGAGCGTCGCGGGGACCGCGCGGAAAATGGCGGTTCTTCGCTTGACCTTAAACCCGACAGTAACACGCGATGGAAGACACGGAAACGCAGTGAGAGCCGTGCGAATTTTCCCGAAACGCGCGGGTGTCGGCGAGGTCTTGTCGCATGCAAAGTCGCGCGAAGGAAAACAGACCGTATCGTGCTAATCTCTTTATCCGGTCGGGCAGGGAGGGAGGGATCGACCATCAGGGAAATAAGCTCGTCTTCGGTGGAGCGAGTGGATGTTTCTCGCCGGAATTGCTTACTCTCGAGACGACACGCCACGTCAGGCTGACATCGCGTTGACTTTCGCCGCGGAGCGACGTTGCATCGATTCACGCCGTCTTGCAATTACTCTTGATTTATGTGTAAACAGTCGCGCCCCGCTTTGCACAGCGTTGAAAAAAGCCTCCACGTCCGAAAGTTATAATTAATTACAGTTGCCGCGCCGCGGGCACCGAGGGCAACGCGGAGGGACGGAGAAGAAGGGGAGACAGGAAAGCGAAAAAGGCGCGAGTATCGATTAACGCGTTCGTGGGATCGTCGAGCTGAACCGCGGCGAAATTCAAGTCGCCGAGAATTGATGCTGCGTCGATGCGTTTCCGTCTTTATCGTCAGGGGAACGAGATTTAAGGGGGATAGAAAAAAGGAAAAGAGAATTTTAACTCTGCACTCAGTACCTCGGAAGAATTTTAATTCGCCCGCTGAATTTTTTTTCAAGTTGAAAGTTAAGCGAACATTTCGAAGTAAAGCTTTGTCGGACTGGGGGCGAGTTGTCGCTTAAGTTGAAGTTGTTTTAGTTTTACGTATCCCTCACTTTATCTCTTTCCCCCTCCATCCCGCCCCTCTGTCTCTTCGTTTCTCTACTGCGCTGGCAACGCAAACTTAATCTTGGCAAAATAAAGAAAGGGAGGTTGTGAAAACTTTTCGTAATATCACGTGGCAGCTCTTTCTTCTCGTTTCGCGTATAAAAGAGTACGACGCTCATTACGCGCGCGACTTTCGTACATCGCAATCTCGTAAGAAAGTCGCGGAAAATATATTTATATACGCTTGGATTTTTTTAATACAGCGCTCGCGCGAAATTGCGGCTCCTGAGTTAAGAGTAAGGCCCCTTCAGGTTCGAGATTCAAGTCTGCCGGGAGAAAATGCTCGAGCGACACGTATTACATATGTGATCAGGTACATCGACAAGTCTCGAAACGATTCCTGCATTTTGAAATTGCATAACAAAATTCCTTGCTGAATCTTGTAGCGAATAACAGATCACCTTCGGCGGACTTTAGAGACAAGCGTCTTGAATTGTTATATAT